TTTTGCTCAAAACGTTGCCGCACATTTTACAATACTTGAGGAGTAATTTGAAGGCACTCATTCACAATTCTTTGTCGCAGGTCTTCTAATGATGTTGGCTGAGTAGCATAGAGTTTGCTTTTTAAATGACCCCACAAAAATGAATCCAAAGGTGATAAATCTGGCGATCTTGGGGGCCATTCAATGGCACCTCTTCTACCAATCCATCGATCTGGAAACGTCTGATCTAAATATTGTCGAACACGTAATGCGTAATGTGGTGGGGCACCATCCTGTGGCTGCTGTATATGAACCTCATGATAAATTTTGGGATTAGAATCGGACCAATATCGGCAGTTATGACGATTTACTACGCCATTTAAAAAAAAGGAACATTCGTCGAAAAAGCAAGTGTTGAATAGAAAATGTTCATCGTTTATAATTCGTTCACTCATATCTTCACAAAATTTTAATCGCCGATCAAAATCGTCTTCATTAAGTTCTTGTACCAGGTGAATTTTATACGGATGAAGACTATGGGCCTTTAGAATCCGTTGGACAGTACGTCGACTAACACCACACACAGTCTCCAATTTGCGGGTATTTAACGTAGGATCTACATAAACTTGCCCTAAAACCCCCACTTCTATTGCTTCGTTCCTTACGGGATTTTCAATGTTGCGTTTTTTTATTGGCGACTGACCCAGTTTCCCGAAATTTAGCTACAAGTTCTAGAACATATTTTCGATGCACGTTACTGTTCTCATGTCGCTCATTAAATATTTCTGCTGTTCTATTAGCGCACTGATTATTTCCGAAAAATATTTCGATAATTTCAACTCTTTCACAAGTTACAAGTTATTTTAGCAACAAAGATTGGTCAAATCAATCTGTACTAAATTCCTATTTAAAATAAGTACGAGATATTTCCTAACCTTTATTCAAGAAATAACTTTTTTGCCACAAAAAAAAAAACGCTCCAATAGCTATTTTCAACAACAAAATGATAAACAAACCATGAACGTAGTGAAAAAAAGTATTTACTTATTAAGTAAATTCTTTTAGTCAAATTTCTTCTGAAAGTAGTACAAACGAATCTGATGTACCTATTAAAGTCTACTTTAAGCTTTAAAACAATAAATCTTCAAAACTACTGAACTGAAGCTCATGTATTTTACATCATTATAAAGGGAATTGAAATACCTTTAAAATAAGGTATAACTCGACCCCCCTTTTCATTTAAGATTTTAGGGTTGGTGTCACCCACGCGCAGGGGGCTGCACGTGTTAACGTGATTTTTTGCCAAACTTGTGTTCCCCTCGAAAACAAAATCAACGGGTCTGAGCGTTTTTCAAAAAAAAAAACTGAGCTGCCAGTAAATGCGTCTGTTTCGTTTTCGATGCGCCACCCTGTATACAGGGTGTTCCATAATTATTGCGACAAAATGATAGGGGTTGTAGAGGGCATAAAAATATGCAATTTTGCCTTATAAACCCCTGTTCGTAAATATGCCGTTTGAGCACTACCGCTAATTTTACCTTAAGAGCTCATAGGAGAAACAAAAAATTCACCAGCTGCAAAATGTTCGTCTAGCACATTTCATGGTCTCGCCGGTTTGTAAAAAAAAGCCTGCTGTGTTTACATTTTTGTTATCGTAAATTCTCCACACCGATTCATTTAATTTATATGAGTGGTGAGTCAAACTATGTAGATAGTAAATAACAGTACCTTAGTGTTAAAATGCAGCGTTATTCGTATGCGGAACTTGCGGATATGCATTTAATTTACGAAGAAGCTGGTGGTAACGAAAGACGAGCCTCGCGAATCTACGCCCAACTGTTTCCAGAACGTCCTCATCCGCATCACGCCATTTTTGCAAGGATTCATGGAGTTGAGGCAACCAAACTTTGGTCGCTACGTTTTGTTCACTAACGAGTCTTGTTTTACAAAGGACGGTTATTTTAATAGCCGTAACAGTCACATTTGGGATGAAGAAAACCCTCATGCCATAGCCATCCAGACCAGAGACCAACATCAGTTTTCAATTAACATCTGGTGCGGCATTGTGGACGAGCATATCATCGGGCCATATTTGCTTCCACCACGTTTGGATGGGCATGCTTATGGTCGATTCTTACAGCATGTGCTACTGGAACTATTAGAAAATGTGCCCCTGAACATAAGAGCGAACATGTGGTTTCAACACGATGGCGCTCCAGCCCACTTTTCTTTACAAGTGCGGCAGTATTTGGACGACAAATTTCCAAATAGGTGGATAGGTCGAGGTGGCCCTGTGCCTTGGCCTGTGCGGTCACCCGACCTGACCCCACTGGATTATTTTCTCTGGGGCCATCTGAAAGCTTTAGTGTACGAAACTCCTGTTCCCAACCAACAAGAGCTACTGGGAAGAGTGATGGCCGCGTCCGCACATGTTCAGGACATACCGGGGGTATGCCACAGAGTTCGCCGATCATTGAACAATCGTGCACAGCTGTGTATTGAGCAAGGTGGAGGACACTTTGAGCAATTACTGTAGGTAAGCTGTTTCAAGAAACTGATCTTTTTTTTTTGTTGCAGCCCAAACGGCATGTTTCCGAACAGGGGTTTATAAGGCAAAATTGTTCATTTTGATGCCCTCTACAACACCTATCATTTTGTCGCAATAATTATGGAACACCCTGTATAGAAGCATAACCCTTGTTCAGTCTTGCACACCTCAACTCTTGCTGCTTGAAGTCAAACCACGGGGCCATACAGAATAGAGTGGTGATTCTGTATGTAAGATTGCTGACAAGACGAACACTGTTTTCTTTGGTAGCGATCATCTTCAAACACATGATAACTGGGAGAGGAAACGAGCGATAATGGTTATGGATGTATTAGGGAAATGAACTCTTTTTCAACGACGTGTCACAAGTGACATTTTCGTTTTAAAATGGCGGCGCCATAAAGGAATTTGCGAATAACCTAAAAACCGCCATATTGCTTACAAGACAAGACTCTTTCCCAATATTGAAGCGATATTTATTTTTATTTGCGAAATAAATTCATCATTTTCAATTTTGAGTTTCGCCCGATATACAGGGTGTCCGCAAAGTTGGGGTTTTCCTTTACACGACGTGTAGATCTTGAAAACATAAGCAATTTTTCTTAGTACCATATACACCAATATCTTAAGGGAACCGAGATAAAGGGCTCTGCAACATCAAAAATATCTTAATACCGTCCTGTAGCCGCGACCTGCGATATCCCCGAGTGGTACTAGGACACTAGCTCAACCCGACGGCAGAACTGGGTCGGGTCAGTATGCAACCTCCAATCGACGGTTACGGTCACGCGTGTAGAGGTAAATGAACCCGTATAATCGATTGCGTTTCAAAAAGAAAATAATAATGGCACACTCATACACCAATAATGAACTCGTTGATATGTTGTTAATTTATGGCGAATGTCCTCAAAATGCTACAGAGGCGTCGCAAGTGTATGCAGATCATTTCCCTAGACAACATCATTCAAGGCCCCGCAGATTTGTGTACCTGGTCCAGAGAGTCAGGGTTACGGGCCATTTGGAGGAATTTCGAGGTGGGCACAATGGGAGGCCTAGACAACCACGAATGGTGCAAGTTGAGGAAGAACTACTGAATCGCATAGACGAGAATCCCTCAACAAGCACTAGAGACGTGGCTAGAGAAGTGCAAGTATCAAAAACTAAAGTGTGGCAAACGCTGCGTGAAGAGGGGCTGTATCCGTTTCACGTCCAACGTGTACAAGCCCTTCAACCTGACGATTTTCCAGCAAGAGTGCGGTTTTGTGAGTGGTTGTTGCATCAACATGACAATAATCCGGACTTTTTGAAGTGCATATTGGTGACAGACGAATCTACATTCACGCGTAATGGGGTGAATAACTTTCGCAACACTCATGTTTGGTCAGTAGAAAATCCGCACGCTGTCCGGCGGGCACATTTTCAACAAACATTTTCGGTGAATGTTTGGGCTGGCATGGTGAACGGTATACTCATTGGACCATTTATTCTCCCAAATCGATTGGACGGGATGCAATACCTAGACTTTTTACGCAACGTTTTGCCTTCCTTGTTAGAAGATGTGCCATTAAGTGTAAGACAATCAATGTGGTTTCTGCACGATGGTGCACCGCCCCATTTTAGACGCGATGTGCGTGAGTTTTTGAATGAATTATTTCCGAATATTTGGATCGGACGTAATGGACCCGTAGCGTGGCCTCCGCGATCTCCAGACTTAACACCATGTGATTTTTTTTTTGGGGGAGAATTGAAACGCTTAGTGTACAAAACTGAAGTGCATACGGTTGACGACCTTTGTCTCAGAATTGAACAAGCTGGTGCTTTCATTCGGGGGAGGGACTCCATTCTCAAAGCCTGCACCGATGCTTGGCTACGTCGTGCACGCACCTGTGTTTTTGAATCAAACGTCGATAACTTCGGACAATACTTATAAAGTACGTTTACCTAAAAACTGAAAACGCGGCAACGCCGTCTTATTTGTTACCTCTGTTCGTGGTCTGCACCACCGCCGGCGTCTGCTCGGTATCGCATCAGCTGATTTCATTTTCTGTTGGAGCGGTATGATTTCGGGCAGAGACGTACTTAGCCCTTCTCGTCAACTGGAGAGTGAGTACTTTTTCCTTTATTTTTTTTTACTTGGTCGCCCTCGTTTCACTACACATTACCTTTGTTATTTCAAGGGTAGTTGTTTCTGAAAAGGAAAACCCCAACTTTGCGGACACCCTGTTTTGTTGTATTGTAAAAAGCGCTGCTCCCGCTTTTCAGTTTTAATTACCGATATCCACTCCGCTTCCCGGAGACGAACCATCTTTCTGAACATGAATGCAGACCCCCCCACCGGCCTCCAGACATCCCTACTGAAATTCGCGCTTGCAGAAACCGTATGTAAAATACAAATAGTGCAACGGTTGTGTCCAAAATTTTACGAAGATGCTAAATGCTAACAAAAAATTAAAACGTCCTTTTCTTATTACAGGGGTGCGTTTGCAAGGAACACTGTCTTGAGGGTACTGAACATGTCAGGAAACCGCATCAAAAGACTGGATCAGAATTCGTTTAGGGGCATGCGGTTTTTGAGAAGATTGTACTTATCTGACAACCAAATAACAGATGTAGGAAGAGGTACTTTCGGAACATTGAAAAGGATTGGAACTATAGACCTGGCGCGTAATGCTTTGAAGAAGATTGACTATCAGATGTTTTATCAACTAAATTTCATCGAGGTAATAATATTATCTAAATTCATCGTGTCAGACAATAGATGGTGTTTTCTTTTTTAAGTGGGCAATTTTTGGGTCCATCTTATATGTATGTCTTAAGCCTCTTAATTTTTGAGATATAGTGTGTCTTTAAAATTGGCAGGTCACTGACTTTTCTTAAGAAAATTGAATCTGTATTCACTTATGAGCCGATTTGATAATTTTTATTCTGAGAGAAATCGATGGTGAATCTCCTCCGTACGAATTCCACTGGTGGAAATTGAAAAAAAAAATGTGGTAAATTAAAAAACCTCAAGATACATGTATGCCAAATTTCGTCATAATATCTGAAGTGGTATTACAGACCTTAATAACAAATTATTTATTTTTGAAAGCTTTATCATCCTGTATTTCAAAAATTATTATGTTTACGTCATAAGTTCATATGATCGCACCATCGAATATTGACATTCAGTTAGGACACCCTGTATATATGGAAGATAGTTCATGAATACCACACCGTACAGAAAAAAACAAGCTCACGATACAGGCGATCTTTTGGAAATTCTTCTTATGGTGAGAAGTTTTGAATGTACTGACCTTACGAATAACTGAACAAAATATAAACAATATTGCTCGAGAACAGCAAGCAAACTTCAAAGCTAAAAACCATCTTGTGAATGTGAATACAATATACAACAGACGAGTGTCGGATCGGTCATAAGTTGTATTAGCAAATACTATTTTGAGGAAGTGGAACATTTTGCGTCCCATTTGTCGGTAATAACAGGATGGAAAGGGTAAAAAAGGACGATTTTCCACAAAACAGAGCGTCACTTTATCCTTAAGTTGTATTGATGAATAAATACTATTTATATATTAAGAACAAAACAAATACTTCAAGTGCCAGATCTTGGATGTTTCCCAAAACCATGTAACAGATTTGTCATAAGTTGTATTATTATACAATTTATTAAATACTGGGTGCGCCATCTATTACTTTTTTTTACCAATAAGTTTATAAATGTTACCATGCGAGTCAGATTTTACACATTGATTTACACCTCCATCCTCGTAAAAAAGTAATAGATGACGCACCCTAGAACGAAAGGTAAAACTCAAACACTTTTGTCGTTTTTAGATCTTGGACGTTTCCGAAAATCAAGTGACAGAAATTCAAAAATTAGCCTTCAAGGATCTCTATTTAACGCACATCGACTTATCGAAAAACAAAATACATAAAATAGAAAGCGGCGCTTTCGAAAACTGCGCTAACATAACAAAGCTGGATCTGTCTTTCAACCAAATTGCAGCTTTGCCAAAGAAAGCATTCGACGAAACCACATATGCCACGGAATTGCAGCTTTCATACAACTTGTTTGAAAATATGACACAGGTAAGAAAGACACAATACAGTGGACCTCCGGTAATCCGACAAACATTATGCAGGGCAGTGTCGGACTATCGAATTTGTCGGATTATAGAGCACTGCCTAAGACCCAATATAGTCCGTATTTTTTTACAAAAGAGTACCTTGTAATCCGAAAAAATACATATCCAATGGTAAGATTATATATGTTATGTATGTGTATGTACTTTGAAGTACAAATCATACATAGTTTATGTATGTCGAATTTAGTAAATTAAATAAAAATAGAGAGCTTACGCTTTATTATAAAATTAAGTATAAATGCACATACATACCAAAATAATCAAGAATTATTTTTATCAAATTATGAAGCTTGGAAATATTCATCAATTTTTGTTTTGTTTAAGGTTGTTATAACGCGAGATCAGAGCTTTGTCTCTGTCTTCTTAAAAGTAAAAGTTCGTTGTAGGATGTACCATTCTCTTCAGCCCATTGTAAACCTAACTCAAAGGCGTTAATTGCGTCTTGTGCTGTGACTTGTGGAGCAGTTGCAATCACGTCGTCGTTATTTTCCTGATTGTTTGTTGTATAATTAGAAACCTCTTTTATAATCTCTTCGTCAGACATTTCATGAAAAACATTTTCCTCTTTATCCATTCCACGGCACCAGATTTCCAAATCTTCCGGACTTATCCGTGTTTCAGTAGCGACTTGTTCTATAACTTCCGAAGTAACACTGATTTGTGGAACGTTGCTAAGAGTGGTGACTATATCTGGCCATAACTTTTTCCAAGACGATTTAATAGTTGATGACGGTAACGCATTCCACGACTGACAAAGAGCAAAAACCAAGTCTTTCATATTAAATTCTTTTAAAGTTTTTTCTATTGGTTGGTCCTTTGATACGGCTCTCAGAAGTAGGTTTTTCTTATAGTCTTGATTGACAAACTGAATGATATTCTCGTCCATTGGTTGAATCAGTGCAGTGCAATTTGGCGGAAGAAACATCGCAGTGATGCATTCATCCTCAGTTGTTAGTTCTTCTTCAGACGGATGACCGGGAGCGTTATCAAGAAGCAACAACGCTTTTTGAGGAAAATTATGATCTTTTAACCATTTTCTAACTTCAGGTATGAAGCATTCATCAAACCACTTTTTGAAAAGGTGTTTTGTCATCCATGCACTTTTTTGTCCGTAATAGTGTACAGGTAAATCAATGTTTTTGAATGCCCGTGGTTTATTAGATTTCCCAATGACCATCATCTTAAGCGCGTGTGTGCCCGCAGCGTTAGCACATTATAGTTACACGCTCTTTACTTACTTTTCGTCCAGATACGGATTTTTCGTTACAAGAAACGAAAGTTTTGTTAGGCATCACACGCCAAAAAAGCCCTGATTCGTCTGCATTGTACACGTGTGACGGGTCAAGATTTAAATCGTTCACCTTTTGCAAAAATCTTAATTTAAAGGGCTCTATGCAGGTGGCATCGTTAGAAAGTTTCTCTCCTGTATGTAATAGTCATTAAACGTATGCCATGATGACTTTTAAAACGTTCTAGCCATCCTTTGCTGGCCACAAAATCATCTGTTTTTGTTATTTCCTTATAAAAAAACTTAGCTTTCATGGCCAACATGGGTCCTGAAATTGGTGCATGCCTATTTCTCCTTCCACTTCTGGATGTTCAGCTTTCTTGAGTGTCTGCCTCTTGCCTGGCCCGCAGTCAGTAGTTGAAACGAACTTCTTGATCTTGTCGTGGTTTCTTTTAATGTCATAAATTGTAGATCGGCCTACGCCGTATTCACTTGCTAAACTACTGAAAGTTTCATTAAAATATCACCTTTTTCTTTAATTGTCAATGTTTTGTGCTTTCGCTTCTGATTTGTGATGACATTACTAGGTACTATACTTAATACACAATGAATAAATAGTGAACATTGAACGCACTCTTGGCCGTACCGCTATCACCAGTAGTCAAATTCAAACTAAGTAAAACCATGCTTACGCGTCGAGCACGATAGCGGTGGCGCGTACAAGTTGTAACCTGTTCCATTAGCGAAGATTGTCAAATACGTAGGTATGTATGCAATACATATTCAAAGACATGTCGGATTACAGGGGGCGCCGGATTAGACAGGGACCGGATTATCGGGGGTCCACTGTATTTTGAACACGCATAGAAAATATGAATACATATTTATACAGGGTCTCTCAGAATAAAAGGAACACGGTATTTCTTAAATGACTTCTTAAGTGTGCTATAACTATCTTTAGTTTTGTTTCCGTCATTTTGAAAATATAGTTATTCCGATAATAGATTCATGCTCAGCTAATTCACACTTTTTTTAAGTTAGTCTTAAATAGTAAATATTTGTTCTATTAGACGAAAAAAATATATTTCTTCAAACGTAAAAGACCGTAAAAATAAATTCAAAAATATATTTCTCTTAGGCGAATTTGTTGACTGCTAAGTTTGACGCTTATATTAATGTGCTCTGCCGTCATACCATCTGTAAACAGTAGCTGACAGCAGCATAGACTGTCAAGCTTTTAAACATATAAACATGACATTTTACTACTAGTTTACATGATAGATATAGTAATTACACTGGACAACAAATTTTAGTTTTTTAATTGTATCTTGTGGGAAAAGTGCACTTCTTTGTTAATTTTGGGGCGCTGAATCCAAAAATGACAATGAAATAAAAAAATTAGTTGCGGTTTAGAAAAAAAATTTTTATTTTTAAGGATATATTAAAAAAGTAACAAGATTCATATACTTATAAGAATCACTATATGTGCTGTCTTTTCGCTGTTCTTTTATGGATCGTTTCGGGAGCGTCTCTACCAAGAGTCCAACAGTAGTCTGCAAGCATGGAAGGATTCCACTTTCCTTGGTACCTTTTTTCCGATGTTGAAATATCCTGATGAAAACGTTCGGCGTGCTCATCACTTACGGCTCCGCAATTGTCAGGAAAAAAGGCCAGGTGTGAGTGTAGGAAATGTATCTTAAGAGACATATTACAGCCCATCTTTTGATACGATGACAGCATATTTTTGACAAGGGTTTTATAGTTGTCAGCTTTTCTATTTCCCAAGAAATTAGTGACCACCAGACGGAAATCATTCCAAGCAGTTTTTTCAATACATGTTAAAGTGTTTTCAAACTGTGTATCTTTCAAAATATTTCGAATCTGTGGCCCAACAAAAATACCTTCTTTAACCTTTGCCTCACTTAGTCTTGGAAATTTCTGACGCAGGTATTGAAAAGCTGACCCATCTCTATCTAATGCCTTGACAAAGTTTTTCATTAGGCCCAACTTGATATGCAGTGGTGGTAATAAAATTTTTTTCGAATCTACTAATGGCATATGCTGTACATTTTTTTGACCTAGCTCTAGGAATTGACGAACAGGCCAGTTTTGTCTGGTGTAATGAAGTGCCTTTGCCCGACTGTCCCATTCACACAAAAAACAGCAAAACCTTGTGTAGCCTAGCTGCAGCCCAAGTAAAAATGCAACAACTTTCAAATCGCCACAAATATGCCATTGGTGCTCATCGTATTTTATGCATGTCAATATTGTCATATGATTCTTTCATGTGAACTGCATACCCTACAGGAAGAGATGGTAAAATATTTCCAATATGCAATAACACTGCCTTTAAACTCAATGTTGAACTGTCTATAAACAATCTCCATTCTTCTGGGTTATAGTTTATATTTAAAGCCGCCAGTAAGCCGTTAATGTTACTGCAGAAAACCAAGTTATTCTCCATATTGAAAAATGGTTCTAAGTCTTTGTGGCGTTTACGAAAAACACATACCGAAACATCGTCTTCTAACAAGTTCCACTGCTGCAGTCTTGATCCAAGTAACTCTGCCTTACATTTTGGAAGTTCTAAATCTCTTACAAGATCATTTAATTCTGACTGTGTTATTTTGTGCGGTTGGTGGCATGACGTGCTCGGTATAAAATCAGGATCTCTTGACGTTGATGGCATATCTTCTTCCTGACGAATCACTCGATCGCCATGATTTGATTCGTTTTCTGATTCGCAAGTGTAGGATTCTGGGGGTTTTGGAATAGGATTTTCGTCACTGTGAGGCACAGGTCTCATCGCAGATGGTATGTTTGGGTAGTTAATAACCGATTTTTTTTTCTTGGACATACCTGTGGCTTGTCCAACACAAGGTACCATGCAAAAGTAACAATCATTAATATGATTTGTAGGCTCTCTCCAAACCATTGGGACAGCAAAGCGCATAGACCGTTTTTTGTCATTTAACCAGCTCCTCAGACTTGAAGCACATGTATTACAGCAGATGTGGGGTGCCCACTGTTTGTCTTGATCACCTAGTTTACAACCGAAATAAAGCTGATATGCCTTTGTTATTAGTAGAGTAATATACCGTCTCTGAGACGCAAAAGTCACATCACCACACACGTAACAAAACTGATCTGGATTGTTTACACACTTTCGAGACATCTTGCATGAACGCTGTCAGCCAACTGAGGAAAAAATGGCTAATATAAAACAATATAATGTACACGTATGTATAACGTAACACAATCATGCCGATTACATCATCTTTCCTTGCCGAATATAAAAATGTAGCACGTGCATTCTTGTGAATTACAGTATATTAACACTGTCACAGCAGGAACACATACAATTACCGTATCTCTAAAACTTGAACTAATATTGAAAAAATAAGTTTCATTCCAGTTTTAGCACATTAAAAATAGTAATATTTTGTTGATTTTATTCAGGATATTTTTTGGCTGTTGATCAGTGTTATCGTTATTGTATCGTCCGAGATATATAAAAACACATCGATAAAGACCTCAAGAAAGCTGTTAATTTCATTGTTCAGGGAAATAAATATACGCAACAATGTTATCATCTTGCTTAAGTTGGACATCACCTACTGCATGTTTGCCGTACGATTTCCTTGCAGATATGTCAGAAAAAACACAATATTAGGCAAAATTATTCAGAGGTTATAACGCATGATCTCAGTTTTGAATGATTTCTGAAAAGGAAGATTATGCAAATGTATTACTTATTCTTTCTATTTATTATCTCTATCATCGCATCAGATGCACTGAACTTGCATAGAAGTCTTGATGTTCCTCAGCCTGGAAATTTGGGTTGAAAAAATTCACAACCATCAATGTGTCAATTTTCGGCAAATTTGTGCTTTCTGCTTTTACGAAGTCAACGCTGATGACGTTTTTTTTTTTTCAATAAAACGAGAAGACGATTATTTTTTACGTTACTTTGAAGAAGACAACTTCAGTCCACGATTCTTTGTTTACAACCCGTATGACGTCGATAGCGTTTTCACAATTTCGTATTAGAAATGAAAAATATACTTTTTTAAATCGGACCAATAGCTTTTAAAAATTGAAATCTATATATTTCGTCTTCCTAAGCCAAATGCTATAATAAATATTCATCTATTCTATGAAATTAGATATGAATCAAGTAGCCTGTTTTACAGTATCGTCAACAATTATTCAAGAAAAAACAATTCACTGTAGTGTCTTTAAGAAGTCTGTATCTCCATAATCCAAATAGAACATTTTTATAGAAACCAGTGACATTATTTTTGTGTCCAATAAATACGAGGGTTGTCTCTAAAATAAGGGTCCCAACGCTGTATCTTTGAATGTCCTGCTGTTTACGAATCTGTTGACAAAAAAATAGCTTAAGGTATTTGACGTTACGAATTTCATCATCTAGGTAATAGTAGTCACCTTTTTATGTATGTACCCGGAGCTTTCCATCGTATTCCTGGACACCCTATACAAAATATGACGATTCATTTTACATTGAAATAAGGATGGAATCAAGTGTTTTTTATATTTCATTCCAGATTCCACTACACAACATGACGGGAATCAAAGTGCTTAACGTATCGCACAACCTGATAACCACCGTCCCAAGAAAAACATTTCCCAAGTTGTACGAACTCCACACGATCGATTTATCGTACAACAAACTCACTGATATCTTTAACTCCGTCTTCCAAACGTTATTCTCACTGCGGTACCTCAACCTGAGTCATAACAGCTTGGAGATGATCAAACCAAGCACGTTTGGAGCAGTACCTACTCTTTTGGAGCTCGACATGAGCTACAACAACATCGACAGTATCGTAAGGAGTGCTTTCACCAGATTATCCGGTACCAGAACACTAAATCTACGAGGAAACAGACTGTCGTCATTGTTCCAACTACCAATATCAGTATCTCATTTAGATTTGTCTCACAACAATTTCGACGTAATTCCTCCGAAGATGTGGCCCTCGATGAATTCGCTTCTGAGTTTGGACTTGAGTTACAACAATTTGGGAGATGGGTTTGAAGATGGCAGTTTCTCTAGTTTGTTAACGTTGCAAAGGTTAAACTTGAACTATAACGGTATCAGGGAACCTCCATGGGTGGCGTTGAGCGAGCTCACTTCTCTGCAGTATCTTTATATGGAGGTAGGTATTAGTGAAAATTCATGTGTTAATCGCGGTAAAAAATGTCTTCAACTCAAAACGCTGTTGTGAACTCGAATCTGATGCTGAAGATCTTTGGGTATCAATTGAACATATCAACCAAATTATTTATAAGCTGTATATATTTACCACCTAAGGATAGCATTTCATATGCCTCAGTTGTAAGCAAATTATACCAGAATGAAGGTTTTTTTCGACAAAATACGGTGCTGTTGGTTGGTGACTTTAATCTTCCAAGTGTCAATTGGCAACCAGTACTTAATGAACATTTTATGGAGCCACTTAATGTTGAAGAGAAAACGAGTGCCTTACTTGACATATTGTCGTATCTACAGTTAATGCAATTTAATAAAATTTACAACTCAAATAACCGTTTATTAGACTTGATACTTAGTAACGCGTGTTCAATATATAATATTTCGAATTCGGTTGACATATTGGTTCCTGAGGATAATCACCATCCTGCAATTACATTTTGTTTTAAGCATGTTTTACTTAAGCCATTAATGCACCAGAGCCGATGCCTTTACGACTTTAATAAAGCTGACTATACTTCTATAAATAATACTCTTTTAGACACAGAATGGGAAAAATTATTTAGTACCAAATCTGTAGATGAAGCTGTAGCCATATTCTATAACATACTCAATGAAACTATTCACAAATTTACACCAACATATAAAATTCGAGGAAAATACCCAATATACTTTAAACTTGAAACAATACAAACAGTTAAGAGAAAAAATAAGTATCATAGACTATACATATCAGATATTCTGTGACCTTAGAGCCAAATCAAAATCTTAATTAAGGAAAACCTGGATGAATACATAACAATGATGGAAAACAATATATTGAACGACAGCCGATACTTTTGGAAATACGTTTCAAGTAAGAAACAATGTCATGTTTCTATACCTAGTTCTATAAATCATTCAAACTATGAAGTTAAAACCGGAAGTGGGGTGTGTAATGCCTTTGCTGATTTCTTTGCAAGTGTATATGTTAAATCTAAACAGTTTTATTTAAACAAGGACGCTAGTCCTATTGATGTTACCTTAATATCCATTGAAAAAATATATCAACAAATAGTGTCCTTAGAAATTAAAAAATCAGTAGGCCCTGACGGCATACCTTCTGTATTTATAAAAAACTGTTCCGCTAGCTTATGTTTACCACTTCACCTAATTTTCAAACTATCATTAACTCAAAGAGTCTTTCCAACGAGATGGAACGAAGGTGAAATATTGCCTACTCATAAAGGAGGCGATAGACATCTTGTGGAAAATTATCGACCTATCACTAAACTTTGTATTTTCTCAAAAATTTTTGAAAAGCTGATTTATGATGCTATCTTAAACATTACAAAAAATATCATTACGGAACACCAGCATGGATTTTTCCCTAAAAGATCTGTAGAGACGAATTTGATGAGTTTTATAGAATATGCCTCTCACGCAATAGATGAGAAACTGCCGGTGGATGTTATTTATACCGACTTCAGTAAGGCTTTCGACAAGATTGATCATTCTATCTTGATGGAGAGACTTGCTGAGGTGGGTGTAGATGGTCCATTATGGCAGTGGCTAGCATCGTATATAAGTAATCGTAAACAAGTGGTGACAATCAATGGGTATCGTTCGGAGACATTCTTAGTAACTTCAGGCGTACCACAAGGTAGTCACTTAGGACCATTGTTATTTAACATATACATGAACAACCTTACTTCTGTTTTTCATTTCAGTAAATATTTGTTATATGCTGATGATCTAAAGATATTTACTATTGTTAGAAATGTAAATGACGGTGTAAAACTTCAAAGCGATTTGGAATCTCTGCAAAAGTATTGCACTGAAAACAGTATTCCTGAATTTAACAAAATGTCATTACATGAGGCTTACTAGAAACATAGCGAACACTATAGATTTCAGATATAAGATAGGGACGGCAGAACTGGAAAAGCTTCATGTAGTAAAAGACATTGATGAGAAACTCTCATTCATCACCCACGTAGAGCACATCGTAAATGATGCAAATAGAACACTAGGGTTCAGAAACAGGACATGCAGAGAATTTACGAACCCAAAAACGCTTCTTTCATTGTACTACGCTTATATACACAACAAACTGATGTTTGCATCAGTAATATATTATCTTACAATGTGCATATAGTCAGGATAGAAAGAATTCAACACAAATTTTTGAAGATGTTAGCACATAAAACTCACCAACCTGTTACAGATCATCATTATACGCAAATTATGAAACAGTTCAATATGATCTCCTTAAAAGATAGAAGAACGATTTCTGACATTTGCTGTGTCCATAAATTGTTGAATGGCCTCACTGACTGTCCGGATCTTTTGGCAAACTTAAACTTTAACACTCCTGATAGAACGTTTAGAACCTATCATCTGTTTAGAATACCGTTCCGTAGAACCAATCTTGGTCTTAATTCCCCTTTGGTCAGGGCTCAAAAAAATCATAATAATTTCTGTAATATAGATTTATTTAACATTAGCTTGACCTCCCTGAAAAAGGCCTTAAAGTATGAGTATTACAGCTCTATGGCAGACTAAAATAGAAATGTTTTATTTTTTTACATAACTCAAGTTATCACCTCCAATATCATTTCTGGTATAATTTCAATTTAATTTTGATTTCAGTTTTAATTAAACGTAAGGAAATGTTAAATTATGTATACTCCTTTTATTAAAAAAGTTAAATTAATAGTTTATTGCTTATAATTAGAACTACTCACTCAGTTTATGTTGTTACAACAATATCGGAGGATAAAGAAATATTAATATTGAAGTATTCAATAATGTAATATATGTATATGTATACGATATTTTATGTAAGTTTAGTTTTAGTTCACTGAGGGTGTGTGTTGGGTTTACCTGTTAACACCCTAAACTGTATATATAAATATAAATATAAATATAAATATATAATCACGCAATGCCTAGGTAAAATTTCAGTTCCGCTTATAGTGCGGATCGGTTGTTTTAAACGAAATTTCGAATACTGCAGACAAAACGATTGAAGGATGGCCTTATATTTGCAACTTTTTCTTTGCGCTGCCAAATCGACAGGTTTTAACAGAGACCTCGCACTACTGTCAAAACTCATAAACTCCATTTCTTTTCTAGGGTAACAAGCTGAGAAAGTTGAGCAGGAATGCATTCGGGAAACTTCCTGTAATATTTGAGTTGAACCTTGCGAATAACAATATCCGTAACATCAGCAGCAGAGCTTTTGAGGGGCTATTACAGATTCTTAATTTGAACTTGACGAATAATAATATAACACATGTACCTAATGGAGCTTTCCAAGGTAAGCTTTAACTTGCTTCTTCACCCATGTGAACGATCTGGAAAATAAACGTGGATACAAAGCAGATACCCTGTTGATCAAACGTAAATACCACGTTCAATTACAACTGAATCGATAACATTAGGTGGTGATCTTTTGTGTTTTTTACCTCCTCTCTCGAGTCTGGATCGGGGCGTTTTGATGCTGGGGCGGTTTTTAATTTTTTTTTTCGGGTTATCGATTTGTTTTATTAGAGAACGATACCATTTCGGAAACTCTACGATTTACGGGCGATTACGAACCACCGAGGTAAGAGGACGAAGAACGATCAAAAACGGCGGTTAAAGTCGAAAAACGGTAGGTTTTCTTATATCTCCCGAACGATCTACGCCGCTGTTCCATAAGTTTTCAAAATATCGCCTTAAATAGCTGAATGATGGGCGTTCCGTTTGTTTCAGGTCCACTTTTTATCCGCGTCTTAGTCTTTTTTCTAGAAATTTTCAAGAAAAAACCTGAAAAATGACGAATTTTTGTAAAAAGGCCGATAACTTCTCTATGCCAAAGAGAAAATATATTTGGCATAGCACATTTTGTACACCTCGTCGAGTACTATAAATTACCGAGAAAGAATTTTTTCCGTTTAGGGCGCCCTTTTCGGATAAAAAATTTTTAAACGTTGGAAAATTGGCCTCTTTTGGATCTCAAACGTGCTTTTCAATATTCAACATCTATCTCCTCCGAAGGTAATGAAGCTACGAACTTGGCAATTTTTGCGTGAAAAAGCCTAGACATCGGACATTTGGAACGCGGCTTTTTTATTTGTTTTTCTTTCCGTTGAAAAGTGTCGAGTTTTTTAAATTTTTTGACAATATCGAAACATGACCCTCTTTGCTTTCGATTTTTTCATACTTTCGATTGTACCGCTTTTTATGCTTTCAACAAGCTCTTCCGCACTTGCTGAAGTGTATTCGTCTATATTTTTATTTCTGAGAAAAATGGCAAAAACCGTATGCGAAACTTTATTCTTGCATTTACAACGTACTTTAATTTTTTCAGGATTGGTGGCTCTACAAAAGCTCGATTTATCTCACAATAGAATATCTAAGCTGGATAATAAAACCAATAGCATATTTGAAGACCTATTGTCACTTGAGAAGGTTTGTGCATACCCAGATTTCTAATTAAGTTATGTTTAAGTATTTTATTTTCAGTTGAACTTAAGCCACAACAAGATAACCTTCCTATCGCGAAAATCATTTCCAAGCAATCCTTATATCCCGTACAAGCTCACGGAAATAGACCTATCTTACAATCTCATGCCTGTTTTGACGATGGATATCACCATTGGTACTGGCAAACTCGAGAAGCTGAATTTATCGCACAATGCAATAGTCGATATCAGAGCAGGTACATAATCTTATCATAGCAAACAATTCTTAGCATTTTTGAATTATTTCATTTTGTGACCTAGCATCGAGAAATTTACATGTAAGAGCGGTGGTGGTTTCATATAAGGACTTGTATACAGGGTGTCCGCAAAGTTGGGGTTTTCCTTTACACGAAGTGTAGATCTCGAAAACATAAGCAATTTTTCTTAGTACCATATACACCAATGTCTTAAGGGAACCGAGATAAAGGGCTCTGCAACATCAAAAATATCTGAATACCGTCCTGTAGCCGCGACCCGCGATATCACCGACTGGTACCAGTCGGTCGGGGTCAGTGTGTCAGGTCAGTATGCAACCTTCAACCGACGGTTACGGTCACGCGTGAAGAGGTAAACGAACCCGTATAATCGATTGCGTTTCAAAAAACAACAAGCACTAGTGACGTGGCTAGAGATGTGCAAGTATCAAAAACTAAAGTGTGGCAAACGCTGCGTCCAACGTGTACAAGCCCTTCAACCTGACGATGTTCCAGCAAGAGTGCGGTTTTGTGAGTGGTTGTTGCATCAAAATGACAATAATCCGGACTTTTTGAAGTGCATATTGGTGACAGACGAATCTACGTTCACGCGTAATGAGGTGAATAACTTTCGCAACACTCATGTTTGGTCAGTAGAAAATCCGCACGCTGTCCGTCGGGCACATTTTCAACAAACATTTTCGATGAATGCTTGGGCTGGCATGGTGAACGGTATGGTCATTGGACCATTTATTCTCCCAAATTTGTCATATTTGTTACCTCTGTTCGTGGTCTGCACCACCGCCGGCGTCTGCGCGGTAGTGCATCAGCTGATTTCATTTTCTGTTGGAGCGGTATGATTTCGGGCAGAGACGTACTTAGCCCTTCTCGTCAACTGGTGAGTGAGTACTTTTTCCTTTATTTTTTTTACTTGGTCGCCCTCGTTTCACTACACATTACCTTTGTTATTTCAAGGGTAGTTGTTTCTGAAAAGGAAAACCCCAACTTTGCGGACACCCTGTATACTGATTTTATTGATTTCCACTTTTCAGGATCAAGCTGATACAAGTTAATACGGGCGAATATTCAATGTTGAGTACATATACGTATTTACTGTTCTGTTTACTTCAGGTGTCATTGGTAACTTAACAAGACTGAAAATCTTGGATCTCTCCCACAACAAGCTGCACGACCTAAACGGCGAAGACATATTCAATCTTCCGGACAATGTAAGCGAAGTCTATTTAGGATACAATTCGCTTATGAATCTTCCATGGCAGCATGTCACATGTCTAAAGAATCTGAAGGTTTTGGATTTAAAATACAACTCATTCGAAAACTTTAGCCCGGAGCTGACAAAACTCGTTATGGAAGACAAGAACGTGTACTTTGAAGGTTAGTATCTTAATTAAGAATTTTTTTCTGCATTTTCAACTTCTGTTGTCTGAAGTGTAAGCTCAGGAATTTGCTTGCTGCAAAAAGTCATTCTTGGAAAGCCACATTGATTTAATCTGAAATGTGTTAGAGTTTTTGTGATTCTTAAAAAAGTGCCAAACTTGATTAAAAGAATAAACGCCGAGACACATCAAGAGATTTGTCAATATGGACCAAAAACTACTTCACCCTCGCCCCCCAGTGTCATTTCCTTAAAAATCTTAAATGATAAAGAATATCGAGTAATAGCTTGTTTGAAAGGTCATTCGAAGTTCATTATTTTGACGTTTGATGTTTCAAAATCAGTCGATTCGTTTTCGAGAAAATTAGACAAAACTTTATTTATCTCAATTTGTTCGGATGGAAAACAACACAACTGTATATTATACAGGGTGTAAACGTTATGATAGTCATTATTTAAATGGGTGATAGAGGGGGTTAAAAGTAGCAAAAAGTTTCATGTAACATCGGACTGAGGTCAGGAGATCTTGTTGGCCATTTTAGAGGATCAGGAGCATTTCGACCGATCCTGCGATTTGGATAATGTTCATTTAAATACTGAAAACATTGGGAATAAGTGCCCGCATTGAAAAAAAATAAGAGGGATAAAATTTAAAAAAAGTGAAAAATAATAAAAAAAAATTTACTTAAAATAGTACAATAAGCGAGTTCGTTTATTAATTATAACATAAACGTATGTTCTACAATAATTTCACTGTTAGTTTGATTAAATTCCGCTTCTTATACGTTTAAGTTATCTAAAAATAGGCAAAAAATTAACGAATTTTAGTGTGTACCTATCCTTGAATTTTCAGAATAATTAAAAAAAAATATTTTCTATAAAGGGGGGTTCCTTAAAAAAATCAATGCGGGCACTTATTCCCAATGCGGGCATTTATTGGTCAGACACCAATAAACATAAAATAAACTATAAATAAAATAACAAGCAATAAGTCAATATTTTTAGTGAGAAGGATGAACCTGATGCTTTAATAATAAATTATCAACATTTGGCGTCAATTTTGTAAGGATTAATCTTAAATCTCCTCGGCTAATGATGTCCAGTCTGTTTCTTTTTTTCGTTAGGAGATTGGTAACAGCGCTGAACCCCCTTTCCACTAGGTATGACGATGGAAAGGAAATTAAAAATTTCCTCGCTATATTCCATAATACGGGATAAGTAACGGGTATATTGTTTTGCAGCCAGAATTGCTGATATCCGTTTTTAAACTGAACCTTAAGTTCTTCGTTTGTACTTAGTTCAATCAGTTCCTCTTGTATTATGGCATTCGTTTCTTCTATGTCACCATTTGGATTAATTATCCACGGTGGTATTACCATAGTCAAAATATCCTCAAACCTAGATTCAAAATCTGAATAGAGGGCATTTGAATGTTGAACGTAAGTTGAAACGTCGTCTTCCTGGCAGCTTGTCTGTGACAAATTGTGGAACTGAGAAAATTAGCCCGGTCCAATATTTTGCTTCATTAGTTTTAACTCTGGCAAGAAACGCTGATAAGATGGACTTTGCTTTAATCAAATTTAAACTGTCGCCTTGTAATTGCAAATTAACCATATTAAATTTTGTAAACAAATCTGTTAAATAGACGATGTCTGTTTTCCTCTTCATTAAATTTTCTTTTAAAATTTTATCTTTAGTATCCAGAAATTCTAAAATAGTCTCAAAAAGTGCAAAAAATCTTGTCAAACATAAGTCTTTCGACAGCCAGCGTACTTCAGTGTGAAGGAGTAATTGATGAAAGTGTTCGTCATTTTCTTCACACAACTGCGCAAATAACCGCGTATTCAACTCGTTGCTTCGGATTCGCTTTACTGCATCAATGACTAAATGAAGTGATTCTTGCAATCTAACACTCAAATTTTTAGCAACTAAATGTTGTCGATGGATGACGCAATGTAATGCTAACACCCCTGACACATTTTTTTTTAAATAGCTTATAAATACACGGCAGGTGCTCCATCTGTAGCTACTGATATTATATTTGATAAAGGAATTGCTTTTTCAATGAAGTAATCCTTCAAAACATGAAACATTGATTCACCTTTAGTGTCGGCTATCAAAGTTCTTGCGAAGAGCAGTTCTTCGTAGATTTCTTGATTCATAATAAAACGAACATATGCCAATAATAATGCTGCATTATCAGGTAAAGTTGACTCGTCCAGTTGTATAGAGAAATGGGTCGTTTGCAAATAATAACATAAGAAGCTTTCAATATCAGAACTCATTTCATCAATACGTCTTTCAACAGTATTGTTGCTTAAGGGAATTCTTTTAATGATGTCAGATGCAGGTTTGTGTAAAATAGTTTTTAAAACCTCTTCAACGGCTGGCAAAATTAACTTCTCTCCGATAGTATGCGGTTTTCCGGATTTTGCTATAAGTAACGAGATATTGTAAGACGCCCGCAAACCATCATCATTTCTTTGTGACGTCGAAACGAACATTCTGTTCAGTGTAGGTCTCTTCTGAAATTTATCTTTGAGTGTTTGAAAGTATTTCAAATCTTTCTCTGTTTTATCAGGGTGGCATCTTCTCAGATGATCTTGCAGTTTAGATGGTTTCATAGCGTCATTGCCCAAAACTTTGTTGCATAAAAGGCACATAGGCGATTGTTTGTCCGGCAATGATGGAATGAAGCCAAATTTCAAATAATCAACACTGTACTGTCTACATTTCTTTTTAGATTCAGACATGGCATCAGTGGCATCATCTGTGGGCAAAATTAAATTATTTAAATAAGACATAAAATCCAGCAGCTGTATATTAAAAATATTTTTTGATTTTTCCGAAGACATTCCATAATTCGAACATCTTCTTGCAACAATTAGCTCGAATTACGGAGATTGCACTGTAATTATATTACCGATTGCTAAAACTTTCAAAAAGAAACTATTGAGGAGTACTCGTGTAATTTTGCATAATTGAATATTTAACTACTAATAACTAAAGTAATGATTGGCGTAATTTATATATCTTTACTACGAGTACAAAACTAAAATTTAATAAAAAATAATGTACTTACTTTTCTCCAGCACTCTCAAACAAAATAACACTGACTCACTATAATTTGTGTGATATACTATCTGTTTATATTTTTTAAAATATTTTCTTAGCACTTTCCTTTTCAAGATTCAGGAAACGAATAAACGTATTTGTCCCACATTCGTATTTATAGAGTGACGAATTGAACAAGTCAGTGCAAGGTAACGAAGCTCTGAGACTGCGAATCTCAGGTTTTTACAAGTTCAAAATACAACTTACACAATTTTATAAACATATATAATAAATTTTTTACTTCATAGGTACTTTTATAAATAATGTGTATGTTTTGATGTTATAAGATAGTATGATGTAAGTAAATAGGTACTATCAGTGTATGCATTGAGATCCACTATCGTGGACCCCATATTCATTTCATGGACCCCCAAATTTTTTTTCGCTGACGTAGACCCCTTGCAGGTGGTCATAGACCCCTGGGGGTCGATATAGACGACTTTGGGAATCCATGCCGTAAACTAACAACATGTCGGCGAACTCTTCATTCGAGAACATTGTAAATAAACACGACGACGTACGCGAACAAAACAAAACAACACGCCCGATGCCCGATAACTAACCACTGTTACCGTTTGCGATCTGTTGCCGGTTCGATAAGCGTGATGAAAGGCCGACGCGCTGTTGTCATGTGTGTTTTAAATATTTAATTTAATGAAACTTACTTACTGACCACAAATTTTAACTTAGAAAAACTTCATGCCATTTATTTGTTAATTTCTCAATTTAAAAACGTTTTAAATTAGATTATAAAAATTAGTAAGATTGTGGTGATTGTGGTCGATATAAAGCGCTTAAAATTGTAAACTATAAACCCATTTAGACAAAAATCTATTGACTTTTGGACCATGGGTCATATGAACTTTTTGACTTGTTTTGACCTCCCTATTACCCATTTCAATAATAACGTTTACACCCTGCATAGTGACACTCCAAACACACATTAGTTTTTCTGGACCTGTGTAATTCATATTTTTCCTGTTGTATTTATATAAATAGTAATAATAACCATTTTTCTTTATTTTAGGAAATAACCTCAGATGTGACTGTTTCCTCCGACCGCTGTCACGTCACTTAAAATCTCAAATGGATCTGAAAGATTTCTACAAGGCAATTAAATGCAGCAGTCCGCAATACTTGGCAGATCAAAACATGTTCCAGATACCGGAAGAAAGGCTAAATTGTCCGGTGAATGTTAACACTTCACAGTTGCTGGAGAGTAACCCGGATGATTACGATATTTTAACCGACCTAAGTTTCAGAGAACTTACTGCGTGAGTATGATTTAGATGATATTTCAGAATTAATTGATAGACGATGGATATTTGAACCTCGAAATTGTGCAAGGTTTACTAAGGGCCGTATCGTCAGTCTTTCCTACAATTTTAGGACGCCTTTATTGCCTCCTTGATTCTCATAGTCTTCTCTCTCCTTCACAAAGGCTGAGGTATTTCCAGATTTCTACGGTTCCGGGTCAGCGTCAGCGATCTCCTATTGTGAGGCCATGTTTTCTTTTTGAATTGTAGGAAATTTCAGGCCATACAGGGTGTTTCAGTTTATTTTTGCATAACTTTAAGATTCGCTAGAACTTTTAAAATTAATGCATAAAGTCTATATAACGACAAAACGAACCATGGGCATAGTATTACTGTAGCCGCTAGAGGGCGCTCTCTACTGTACCTGTAGTGTATTAAAATGACCGAAAAAATTTTCTTAGTGCAATTTTTTGCTTTTTGAATAAAAAAACTGATTCTTCGCAATTTTCAACCTAAAAAAGCTCTCCTGTGAGTTTTCGTTATAGTTAGCCGTTTTTGAGATATTTCGATTTTTAAGGTTCGATCGAGCATTTTTAATTATTTATGGGAAAATAATATTTTTTTTTTCATTTTCGATTTGGGCATTACAAGTAATTAAGATAATCGTTTATATTGTGTTTTTAAACACAGCAATAATTCCTAACTCCAAATAAACACAAAAAACAGAATATTAATTTGTTTAATTTTCCAATATTATTTTTAACAAATTAAATTAATTATTTACAACTAAAATGCTATTGGATAGCTAGGACAAACATATACAATCTAAAGTAGTTGCTCGAAATGTAAACCCAATTGTTCAATACACAATTCACATCTACGAATGATCGAACGTGGTATAATAGCATTATTCAAATAAGGCCTTATTTCATCACATGCATTCCTGATTCTGTCTATTAGCATATCTCTTATGGTTACGGGAGTCTGGTACACTTTTTATTTTAGAAATTCCCACACAAAGAAATCTAATGGATTTAGGTCAGGGGATCGTGGAGGCCAGGCGACTGGTCCTCCACGGCCGATCCATCTTTCTGGATAATTTTCGTCCAGCCAGTTTCTAACTATTCTCGAATAATGAGCTGGACAACTATCAAGCTGGAACCAGGCCAATCTTCTTAAATCTAACATAACATCATCCCACATATTTGCATGTTCAGCCTTTAAAAATTCCGAGAAGGTCGCAGCATTTAACCTTGCAGGCCAAAGGTAGGGTCCAAATAGTCGATTACGGTAGATACCAATCCACACGTTCACACTAAATTCATGCTGAAAATTTCTTTCCCGAACTGCATGCGGATTTTCATGCGACCAAATATGTTGATTATGAAAATTTACCACTCCACGTCTAGTGAAGCATGACTCATCGATCCATAAAACGTTACTTAAAAACTCCCTATTATTATCAGTTCTATCAAGAATCCACTGACAAAATGTGATTCTTCGTTCTCCGTCCCCTGGCTGTAGTCCTTGCACAGGTTGCAAATGGTAAGGACGTCTATGGTCATTTCTAAGAACACGGTGAACATGGCTCCCAAGTCACCAGAAACTCTCCTAACACTTGTGGTCGGATCTCTATCAAACTCACGCATCATACGGGTAAATCTGCGCTGACGAACATTTATGTTTTGATCCCCTTGGAGATTTCCAAAACCATTTTCAATTATTTGGCGATGCACTCTTACAAATACTGAGCGAGTTGGATGTCGTCTGTTTGGAAATCTTCGTGCGTATTCTCTGGCTGCTTCTGCTGCGTTTCCATTTACAGAGCCATACACAAAATGAATATCCGCTAACTCTTGATTGGCATCTTTATAAAACTTACAAAAAAAACAGGTAAAAGAAACTAAATTTCGTGTATTCACAATTGCAAAAAAAGTTTCAGGTTTCAACAGACAACAAAACTAAATGTCAACTAATTGACGTTTAACCTTATTCTGCTTTCAATTTCAAAAATATTTGCAGGCACAGCTTACTTCTAAAAATTATCGAGATACTGACTTTTTAACGTTATTTTATCATAAGTAATTAAAAATGCATCGAACCTTAAAAATCGAAATATCTCAAAAACGGCTAACTATAACGAAAATTCACAAGAAAAGTTTTTTATGTTGAAAAGTGCGAAGAATCAGTTTTTTAATTCAAAAAGCAAAAGATTGCACTAAGAAAAAATTTTCGGTCATTTTAATACACTACAGGTACAGTAGAGAGCGCCCTCTAGCGGCTACAGTAAAACTATGCCCATGGTTCGTTTTGTCGTACCAAAAAACCCTTGTATACCAATTTTCACTGTTATACATCAAATATTGTTCGAAATATTTAAAAAAAACTATTTTAGAAAGTAAATTTGAACACCCTGTATGTCGGAAGCCAAGCATTTTTCGATCCATGTTTATATAGACTTTATGTATTAATTTTAAAAGTTATGCAATAATAAACTGAAACACCCTGTATAACAGATGGTATACACGTATATCAAAAACATGAACAATTTGATGCAAATAGATATTTGTGACATAACCTCAAAATAGAGCGCTGACACGGAAGAGTAGAAAACTGTGAAAATCAAGGAGGCCATAAAGGCGTCCTACAATTGTAGGAACGGCTGACGACACGGCACTAAGCTAAGAGGTAAATCTTTGGACTATTCCGAGATTATTTCCTTGCTTTTCGATGTTTGAGAACTATGTTGGAAAAATAATGAGTTATGGTGTTTCGTCAGCAAAACAACGACGGGATAACTTTCAGATTTTACGTTAAGATTATTGCAATTTTTCAGGAGAAGAGGAGTCTACAAGGTCCGTTGGCGTGTGATGAAACAAAACGACATCGCTGACATTGACGTTTTCGTCAGAGACATCCAAAACCCGATTAACATCGTCTACCAAACGACAGTCCCTTACAACAAGAGGGTGGTTGAAATTGATAGCACCAAAGACTTCGATAACAGCAACATGAAAGCGGGATCTACCTATCAACTATGCTTGTTGGCCAAAAATAGTAATAATACCGTCAGGAAATTTTATGAGAAACAGTGTCGGACGCTGGATATGGTAGTGACATCTGGAGCTCAGTGTCTGGGGTCCGTCGGCGTTATGAATAGCATAATGGTTGTGATTTTTGTTAGATTTTTTGTTTTGTAAATATTTGTAAATATAGATTTTAGTTAATGTTAATCTTGTCCGTTTTTATCATGTGAACGACCAAGATTTTATCGCTTCACTACTGTGGAAGTTTCTCCTGACTACAAGACCTCAAGACCGATCTAATCTTAAACGTTTTTAAATTGGGTAAAATAAAAGGCATTACTCAGTAAGTAAGTAAGTTTCATTAATTTAAATATTTAAAACACACATGACAACAGTGCGTCGGTCATTCATCACTCTTATCGAACCGGCAATCGATCGCAAACAGTAACAGTGCTTAGTTTATTGTTTTGTTTTTGTTCGCGTACGTCGCCGTGTTTATTTACAACGTTCTCGAATCAAGAGTTCGCCGATATGTTGTTAGTTTACGGTGAAGCTCGTCAGAATTCAAATCTTCAAATCCACTCTCCTTGTATATTTTTGAAGAAAAAAAGGAGATCATTGAAAATGGAAGTCCAACACCTTTTTTTGATAATTTTGGAAAGGAATAAAAAAACGTTCCTAGTTTGATATTTTAAATTAAGTTGCGTTACGGGTTTAATTTGAAATCATACTCTTGCCTCAGAATTCAAGATTTATTAGCTGAAAATTGTACACTGTGAGCGGTTACCAAGACTAGATTCACAATCTTAAGTCCTAGGTGCTATCGTGGTCCGTGGGATCAGCCCTAAACTTTGTCAAACCTTGTAGGAACTGCCGTGGCCCTGCAATAATCGTAAACACTAAACAAGGGTAGACATATTTCTAGTTTAACTACCTGAAGATATTCTCTATGGTTTATACGTAACTCTCCACCTATTATCTCATTTTGTAGTTGAGGCCCCTTCATCTGAGAATTGTTTACGTCTTCGTTTCTTTCCTAACCTCAATGTTACATTTTGACAAGTGTTCAGTCAGGGAACAGTCCGCTGTTGTTCCATTGCTCCATTGCTCCTGTCGAACTTTGTGTTCCGTGACCAAGTTGAAGAAACTTCACTTTTTGGTCGCAGCTCTGTTGAGAAGCACGAATTTTGCGGATCTTTACGCCAAATAAAGTCTAAGCGTTCTTCCTTTTTATGCCTCGTATAATACTACGGGGATGTGGGAGACGGGAATCTTCGACGCTTTTACCGCGTTCTAGCCGACACCTTTAGGCCACACTCCAACAGAGGTAAGCGATTCGGCTTGAGTTAAAATGGAACCCGGCGCCATATTGGATTTTTGTTTCAGACCTTTTTCATCTTCTTCCAACTTTTTCATCTTGTTCCAACTTTTCGTCTTCTTCACCTTCCGTTTTCTCCACCAAACTACTGCTGATACCTTCAGATGAATCCCTGACGACTTTTCCACGCCTTGCCCTGTAATGAGAGTTCCAAGTAGCCCCTGAGGAAGGGAGATGATTCAGCTGTTGCCAATGTCCACAGACGCCATGTGCTGAAACCCCGTCGAACTGCATCTATACTAAGTGACATATAAATCCGAACACCCAGTTTAAATGGTTTTATTTTAATAAAATTTTGTATAAGTACTTAATGAAGCATAATAAGTAAATGATAAAAATTTCAAAATGATTGCACTGCTTTAAAGCCCTTTGACCTTTAATAATGTGTGGACGCACCCTGATGTGCTACGCATTCTCCAACGCGCCTAGGCATGCTTCTGATCAGGTGGTCAATGTCCTCCTGTGGTATCTCATTCCAGGCAACCACCGACTCCTCTCGAAGTGCTTCTAGAGTCTAGAATCTCCTACCCATCATATCCCACACGTGCTCAATTGGGGATAAGTCGGGAGATCTTGGTGGCCATGGTAACGATGTGACATCATTATGTTGAAAGAAGTCTATTGTGAGTCTTGCAACATGTGGTCGGGCATTATCTTGTTGGAAAGTTGGATCTGCCAGGGTGTCAAGATAGGGTAAAAGATGGGGTTCTAGAACTTCGTGGATATAACGCTGCGCGTTCATGTTACCTCTGATGAAGATTAAAGGTGACCTGGAACCATAAGCTATAGCACCCCAAACCATAACTCCAACACTGTGATGAACATGTCTTTCAACAAAAAACTGTGGATTCCTCCTTTCACCACGTCGCCTTCTAACCCTGGCACGACCATCGTGCATGCCTAAACAAAATCGAGACTCGTCACTAAAGACAATACTGTTCCTGATCCCAGAGTGACCGTTGTCTGCACCACTCAAGGCGATTACGTCGGTGTTCTCGAGTTAAAGGGAGGACCCAGTGTGGCCGGTATGAAAACAAGCCAAAACTTCTCATTCGTCGGTAAACGCTTCGCATGCCAATAGGTCTTCCGTGTTCTGCAAACCATTCATTTGCAATGGACCTGGTAGTGGAGAAACGGTCCCTTAAGGCCAATAATCTTAGGCGGCGATCTTCACGGTCTGTTGTTCTACGGCGGCGTCCAGTGCCCCTTGCTCTTCGCGTACGGCCTTCTCGAAGCCATGCCTGACAACACCTAACCACAGTGTCTACACTTCTTTGCACTCTAACTGCAATTGCCCGAAAAGAAAGTCCAGCTTCCCGAAGTCCCACTATACGGCCCCTATCAAACTCACAAGTTGACGAAATCGTACAGGTCTCCGTACTCTAGGCATCGTCCGATCGTAAAGGATGTCAAGAACCAAAATCCGCCAACGTTGATTCTTTACTGCGGCTGAAATATTCATTTATAAAGCGTTAGTGAATTTACAAAAAGCAGTATAAAAACCGGAATGTCCAACTGATAAGGCAGAAAATTTTTTCACTTGTTATTTACAGTAACATAAATACATTCACCAACTTTTATTAAAATAAAACCATTTAAACTGGGTGTTCGGATTTATATGTCACTTAGTATATTTGTGAGGTTCAAAATAAACTTTTTTTAATAAGATTTTTCACATCTGCTTTTGGTAACAGTTTAGGAAGAGTTACGCGTCGCCACTGCTCATTTATGAAAAACAGTAGGAAGGCACTCATTAAAAAAATCGTGGGAACGTATCTTCCAACTACCATAGATTTCATGCTTTCCTTAGCACCCCGTGGAATATTCTGCAACACATTCAATGCTTTGATGAACGCTAAGATGATTGATGGTTGGATTGACGGACAATCCGTTTACTACGGCTGTTTCAAGGCAAATAAGCAATATAATGTGAGTTTAAGACTTGTTTGCATATTTTTCCATATTCATTAACAAAATAGATATACTCTATATAATTATCAGCTGGTGATTTTTCAGTAGGTACTTTGGAACCGGAAGGCATAACAGGTTCTACATGCTTATTAGAGGCTCTATTATTATACGTACAGTCAAAATAATCTGATAAGTATGAAAAATGTTATACGAGCTTTTCCTACGTTTATACAAGGTTCGAAAAAACATCGCTTGAAATATACAGCGTGTCCCAGAAGTCGACGTCAAGCCGAAACCGGGTGATAGGCAAAGTCATAACAGCTATTAGAAAAATATTTAAAAAAATTTTATGTATGTGTTTTGAAAATTATATAGAAATTTCACACCCTACGGCAGTGTGTCAACTCCTGTTACTACAAATATTAACTTTTTTGGATTTTATTTTTACAATGTAATGATGAATAATGCATCTTCAAACTGGTGTCTCAACCTTACTGCCAACTTTTCTCGTTCAGGAAAAATCGCCACTTATTTCCCAACCAATTATTCCAAAGTAAAACTTTGCTCAACTTTAACTGGCTGTACTGGAAAAAAATGTACTACGAGAGTTTGGCAAGTAACCTTAAAAGTTGGCGCATTTAATAAGGATTCCAAAATGGTATAACACTTAGAAGATTACTCGTTAACTTATACACAATTTTTATTTGAAGAAAAACTGATGAAAATTTTTCAAAATTTCCTAATTAAACAGCGATTATGAAAACGCACAAGGACCCTTAAGGATAACTGTTTGCACAACAGTGGGCGTCAAAATGCTGGTGATGATGATTTACCTTTACAGCAAATGCTCAAACTGTTTTCCTTCAGCCGCAATACACGCTCGACATCTTCTTAAAAAAGATCGGGTTATTAAAGGAGCGAATCCACGGTTATTAACAAACTCAGCTGCTTCCAATAGTCTTTGCCGTAGCCCAGCTACATTTTGAATCGGCTTGAAATACACTTTTTCTTTTACAGTTCCCCAGTAAAAAAATCTAAAGGATGATCGGGCTGGCCACGGTATTGTACCAGACCGCCTTATCCATCTGCCTGAAAAGTTTTGATCGAGATACTCTCTCACTGAGAGTGCATAGTGCGCTGGGCAGCCATCATGCTCAAACCACATGTCCCTGTAAATACTCAGTGGCATGACCACCAATAAATTTTGAACATGATTTTTCAAAAAATCCAAATAAACTTCAGAAGTCAAAGTCTCTGGGAACTCAAACGGACCGATTATTTTACCATTTAAAATTCCTGTCCAATGGTTTATCTTGAAGCGATATTGAGATCTATCTTCTCTCATCAAATGTGGGTTTGCTACGTGTCACTCGTGTAAGTTATGCAGGTTCATGTACCCATCTTTCTTAAATGTGGTCTCATCTGACCATAAAATTTTTTCAAAGAACTGTGGATCTTTCCTGTGTCTTTCTAACATTGTGCGACAAAAAGCAACTCGGGGCTCATAATCCCGGAGCAGGAGAGGTTGAACACGCTGTATGTGGTATGGATGAAGCACATCACTTACTTGCTATTGCACACTTTGATACCGATCAGTACTCCTTCGTTTACTGCGCATCTTTACATGTTCGTGCTTGTTGATTTCGTACTGTTACTAATTTTGGATTCGTGAAATGGACTGTTGATCGCTTGTGATTTGGATTTGGACTGTTTAATTGCTCTTCAAAACAACATTTGCTTTCCTTAGACTATCTTTGATAGTGTGATTGTGCAGTGATGCTATGTCCGTGTACACCGTACAAGAATATGCTAACATGCACCTCATTTATGGGGAATGCAGATGCAACGCTAGTGCTGCAGCGAGACTTTACAGTGAGAGGTACCCGAATGCAGCTCGTCATCCAGATCATCGAGTGTTCACAAATGTGCACCGCTTACTGTTCTCAGATGGCCAACTACCAAACCAATCACACGGTGAGGGAAGATCTTTCCTTCCTTGCGAAGACGTGGTGCTAGGAGCTGTCGAAGAAGACCCGAGTACTTCAG